ATATTTTTTCATATTTATATAGATTATGAGTCGGAGATATAATTTCATGTCTCATTTGACCCTCAATTAAGTCATAATGTCATCATAATGGCCTCCAAACTCAAAATTTAAATTTGCATATTATGACGTTTGCATATTTTTGGGAAATTGATTGTATTTCTGTAAATATAGATTGTTTTTCTCCTTAATTTCGATATGTTCTAGCTGAGATAATTAATAAATAAAATAATATATCGTGTAATGCATTATTCGTTAGGTAAACCATTATCATACGTATCACCTAATTCGTCTAAGTGACGAATTAAAGTCTAGTATTTATTTTGTGTCTGTATAGAAAAAATTATTATTATTCTTCCTCAATTTTGTTCGCAGGATATCTCAAGAATGGCTAAAGCCATTATCATGAAACTTGCCATGATAATAGATCTTAGTCTAACTTAGAACTGCGTGACTTTTCAAAAACTCAAAGTAATCGTGACGTCATCCAGGCGCCATTTTGTGAAAATCAACTTATGATCCTATCTTCATAACGGAAAAGTATTTCTCATTCATAATTATCATGATTAAGATCAATATCCTACCGGTCAATTCCAGGTCAATGAACGTGCGCAAATGCGCGCGTGTGCGTTCATCCACGCGTTTACGCGCGCGCAAAATCATCCCAAATTTTTTTTGCATACGTTTTAGGCCATATGGAGCATTTGACAAAAAATTATGCTCACGCGCATGCGCGCGCGTTTTTTGCGCGTACTAGCATTTTGCAACATAGAATCGCCGAATTTTCTCTATCATCATATTTGGCACATTTTTCCTAGCATTTTGATAACTTGTTAACCTTTTTATAACGCAATAAGCGTCCGTCAAAGTTGACAGCGCGCGCGGACCTGCGTTTTCTTTATCCACAATACATGAGCAAAAACATGCCTATACAAAATTCTTTGTAACTCTTCAGAATAGATAGGAACTCCCATTTTTTTTTTCATATTTAGATAGATTATGGGTCGGAAATATGATTTCATGTGTCATTTGACCCTTAATTAACTCATGACGTCATCATAATGGCCTCCGAACTCAAAATTTAAATTTTGATAGTATGACGTTTGCATATTTTTGGACAATTGATTGTATCTCTGTAAATATTGATTTTTTTTTCTTGCAAATTTTGATATGTTCTAGCTGAGATAATTTCCTACAAATGCAATGTCCACAATTTTCCAGTTTGACAAAGGTATCATGTCGTATTTTTGCGATTAAAGGAGGCATGTCAATTTTTCACATTTTGCGTGTATTGTCTATGGGACATGACTATTTCTCAAAACTGCATTTCCGTCTTTCGCGAGCAACATCTCCGTTTTTTTAACTTTGTTTTCCGTGAGCTTCGGATATGTTGTAGCTGAGACAATGAGCTATCTTCAATGTGTACTTCATTTTTCGATCATATGCCGGGATCATGCTCATATTTTACTTGCAATGTAGGACTTCAGAATTCCATTTCCCGTTTAAGTTTTATCGCTATGGGAGATGTTTTGGTATATCAGTAACGCACTTGACTTCCAACCTCGAGATCCCTGGTTCGAGTCCGGGTGTCTCCAACAATTTTTTTCTTAAGTTTTTTTTTCCCTTTTGACCTTTCACTGTACCATCTCCTTTGATTATTTAAACACGTAGAATCGCAAATAATGTCATAAACAACCCTTTTTACTTTATTATTACCCTATTATCACTTAATCCATTACTTTTTGCGTGTAATCCCTATGGGAGATGACTTTTTCTCAAATCTGGATTCTACGTTCCTGTCTTTTGCGAGCAATATCGCCGTTAGTTCTGCTTGGATTTTGTTGATTTTTGAGTATGTTGTAGCTTAGACTATATGCTATCTACAGCAATCCTTTTTTTCAATAAGATGTCAGGATCGCGCTCATGATCATGATCATGATCATTATCATCATGATCATCATTATCATAATGATGATAATCATTTATCAATTACATTTTCATTTCTTTGAATGAGATAAAATCGTCAAAAGGTGTTCTTCATGATGTAAATTAGATTCAAATGTGTAACTGGTTACTGCACAGGGTCAAAGGTCATATATTGTTTCAATCTATCTTCCCTAGATCCATCATGATCAAGGAGACACAATTTAATCTTGACATATGGATAGATCATAATGGGAGACGCATATAAATGGGAGAAGCATTTTATAAATTAATATATCGTGTATTGCATTATTCGTTATGTAAACCATTATCATACGTATCACCTAATTCGTCTAAGTGACGAATTAAAGTCTAGTTATCAGGTGGGCTGTATATCGTACAGACCACCTTATAATTTCGTTAGAATTGCCTTTATCAGGTGGGCTGTATATAATACAGACCACCTTATGTTTTCGTTAAAATTGCCTTTATTATTATCAGGTGGGCTGTATAACGTACAGACCACCTTATACTTTCGTTAGAATTGCCTTTATTTATTTATTTATTTATTATTATATATTTTTCTTATTTCTAACCACTTTTTTGTTGGCAAGATAACTTAAAAATGGCTCAATCAAATGCCTTTAAATTTGGCACACATATGTATAGGCATATGTACAAAGCACAATAACGTTTTCAACATTGACCTTCACTGATTACGTCATCTAGGCGCCATTTTGTAAAATTTTACGAAAATCAACTCATGATCATATCTTCATAACCACAAGGTATTTCTCATTCATATTTACCATGATTAAGGTCAATATCCCTCCGGTCAATTTCAGGTCAAAAAACGCCCGCGTGCGCGTACGTCCGCGCGTCAATGCGCGCGCAAAATTTGTAAATGTTCAAAATCGTCTCAAAATCATTTTGCATACGTTTTAGGCCATTCTAAGCATTTTATAAAAAATCGCGCACACGTGCATGCGCGCGCGTTTTCGCACGTAAAACAATTGCACAACATAGAATTGCCTTTTTTTTCTTTCATAATATTCTACATATATTTACAAACAAATTGATACCACGTTTGTCTTTTTATGACTATTAATAACGGATTTATCGACCGTTTAACAAAAATTTCCGTGCGCGCGAGCTCTTGTAATACATAGCATATATGGGCAAAAACATGCCTATACAAAATCCATTGTAGCTCTTTAGGATGCAAGGTGACCCCAATTTCTTTTCATATTTTAATAGAGTATGATTCGGAGATATTGTTTCATGTCTCATTTGACCCTCAATTAACTCATGACGTCATCATAATGGCCTCCGAACTCAAAATTCCAATTTGCATATTATGACGTCAGCATATTTATGGAAAATTGATTGTATCTCTGTAAATATTGATCAATTTTCTTCCAAATTTTGATATCTTCTAGCTGAGACAATTTTCTACAAAGGCAGTTCTATTTTTCTTCATTTTGACAAACGCATCATGGCGTATTTTTGCGGTTAAAGGAGGCATGTCAATTTTTTACATTTTGCGTGTATTCTCTATGGGACATGACTTTTTCTCAAAACTCGATTCTACATTCCCGTCTTTCGCGAGCATTATCTACGTTGTTTTAGCTTCGTTTACCCTGAACTTCGAGTATGTTGTAGATGAGACAAAAAGCTATCTCAAATGTACTCTTTATTTTGTCTCAATTTTTTGTTGGATCAGCCCACCTATACTTGTTCCAAACAAGTATTACAAATCTAGTTTCTTTATTTTATTTCTAACCACTTTTTTGTTAACAAGATAATTTGAAAATGGCTCCATCAAATGCTTTGATATTTGGCACACATATGTATAGCCATATGGACAAAACACAGTAAGGTTTTCAACCTTGACCTTGACTGATGACGTCATCTAGGCGCCATTTTGTGAAATTTTCTGAAAATAAACTCATGATCATATCTTCATAACCAAAAGGCATTTCTCATTCATATTTATCATGATCAAGGTCAATATCAGTCCGGTCAAGTTCAGGTAAAAAAACGCGCGCTTGCGCGTATGTCCGCGCGCTAATGCGCGCGCAAAATTTTTAAATGCTCAAAATCATCTCAAATTTATTTTGCATACGTTTCAGGTCATTTTAAGCATTTTATAAAAAGTCGCGCACACGCACATGCCCGCGCGTTTTCGCGCGTAAAACCATTACACAACATAGAATCACCATTTGTTTTTCTTTCATGATATTTCTCATATTTTTTCGAACAACTTGTTATCATGTTTATCTCTTTATGACCATTAATAACAAGATGAGCGTTCTTTCAAGATAAATGTCCGTGCGCGCGAGCTCTTTTAATACATAGCATATATGTGCAAAAACATGCCTATACAAAATCCATTCATAGCTCTTTGGAATGCACCGGGACCCTCAATTTTTTTTCATATTTAGATAGAGTATGAGTCGGAAATATGATTCCATGTCTCATTTGGTCATTAAGTGTATCGTGACATCATCACAATGGCCTTGGAACTCAAAATACGAATTTGCATATTATGACGTCAGCATATTTATGTAAAATTGATTGTATCTCTGTAAATATTGATCAATTTTCTTCAAAAATTACGATATGTTGTAGCTAAGACAATTCTCTACAAGCGCAGAAATAACCATTTTTCATTTTGATGACGTCATCATAGTGAAAATTTTGATTAAAGGCCTCATGTCAAAAACTTCATAATTTGCGTGTTATGCCTATAGAAGGTGAATTTAGTTCACGTTATGAATCTACATGATATTGTTTTTTAAGAATTTGTAAGCAGTATGTCGCTTATTTTTGCTCTATTTTGTCTCAAATTTTAGTTGACCAGGGAGGTGTTTCACAAAGAGTTAAGTCCTGCGTAAAGTCCTGCGTAAAGCCCAAAGTCCTACGTAAATGGCTAAGTCATGCGTAGATTCTAGGTCATACGTATATTCTGTTTCACAAAGGTTTAGGTCATACGTAACTGCACTAAGTCATGCTTAAAACTACGCATGGTCCAGACCCTGCGTAATTCTGCTTAAGTCATGCGTAAATCTACATGTAAAATGGCTGCCATGGTGGAGGAAGCTGTCGGTAGAGCTCTCCGGCGAGAGAGAGTTTTTAGGGATCGAACCAACCCCTTAGACGCCTATTGCGACACAGAGCTCCGTAAGAGGTATCGGTTCTCTCGCCGGGGATGCATCTACCTCATACATCTCCTCCGTATTGATCTCGAACACCCAACAGGAAGATCGAGGGCCCTCCCTGCTTCATTGCAGATATTTCTAGCGCTAGCATTTTTTGCTTCGGGGGCCCTCTTGACGACTGTTGGGACAATGCATGGGATCAGCATTGCCTCGACTTCAAGGGCCATACGACGGGTCACCAAGGCCCTATTCCGTAGAAGAAATCAAGTGAGTAGACATTTTTTTAACTTAGTTTTTAGAATTATCCAAACAATTCAATGTGTTGCTTTAATTTCAATTTAGACAAGTTCTTTTTAGCAGTCACTGATTTTTATTTTATTTTCATAATTTATAGGGTCTACATTTTGATTTTTAAATTTTAGCAGTTTTTAGGAGCCTTAGCATGATTAGATAACATATTCTGATTTCTGAAAGTCTATTTGATGATAACAAAAGGTAGATCATAATCTAGAAGTAGAATTTACTCCATTTTTCCTTAGTTTGCTTGCACTTATTGCAGTTAATTGTCGTATCGTATACTGTGGGTCTACGCTACGCTAGCGGCTAAGGCTAGCCTACGAGAACAAATTTAGCACCTTAGCTAGCTATAATTTACTGTATTTACAGCCTGATAAGACAAGCACAATAATTACAATGTGATACTAAGCTATAATGGGATGACGTATTCATTTAATTTAGCTCTATTTTGTAACTTACGCCGTAGCAACTGTAGTTTCGGTCGCTAAAATTAGAAAACTTGCAAAGTCAGTCCCATGCATGTTAAATTGTGTCATGACTAATGTTATTTATCAACAATTAATTGAACGCAATCCAAATTGCAAAAACAGAGCAATTATAGCTATCGTCACCTCGTATTTGCACTCTTTGGCACTGCCCACTCTTTCTTATATCAGTTCATCAAATTTCCGAAGAGCGAGAGAGATGTCCTCCATATTCAGGAGCAATTCTTCGCGGTTGCAGGTTTCCCAAAGGTGGTAGGGGTAATAGACTGCACGCACGTACATCTACATGGCAGCAAGCTCAAGCCCATAGAACACCTATACGTGAACAGGAAGAACCGCCACAGCATCAACGTCCAGCTGATCTGTGGGCCTGATTTCCTCATCTCAAATGTGGTGGCAAGGTGAAGAAAAAAAAACCCAACCATAATAATGCGATGGGGTAAACAGAGGGGGTATGTTAAACACCTTCTCAGTTCTGTCCAAAAAAAAGAGGGAAAGAAAGGGCCAAACTGAGATTAGAAATATTGATAGATAAAGAGTAAGAGAGAGAGAGAGAGAGATAGAAAGAGAGAGAGAGAGAGAGAGATAGATAGAGATTTATATTCGGAATTCAAGCTGATTAAAATATTGGGGCAATCTGTGCATTATATTTCAATTCAATTCAATTCAGTTTATTTAAGTAGAAGTGGGAGTAAAATATTAATTGCTCATGCTAGTTAATTAGGCCAGTACCCAACTATCAATGAAATGGGAGAATTGATTAATGAATGGATAAGAAGTTCTGTATCTGGATAAACGAAATAGAGCTCTGTAAAGTGTCAAGCAATATTGTCTGTTTAAAAGGTTATTTCGACTAGGGTATGGTATATTAAAAAAATCTATTCACTTCTCATTTGAAAACTATCCGTCCTATTTTGCTCTGGTTTTTGAAAATTAAGGTACTTTATAAAGTACCTTAAATTTAATAATAATAATAGGCATGATAATAAATTTATTATCATGCCTATTAAGAGCTCCGATATCCATGGAATAACATCGAAATTGGGGAGGGTGTGCAAGTAAGGGCTACTACCTGTAACAAGGCCAATTACCATAGAAAGGGTAATTTCGGCTCTATAAAAGGGCACTCGATCCTGCCCTCTTGCAAATTAAAAACTGCCTTTGTTTCCTTTGATGTTGTTTATATAGTACCTCAAATTTAGATATAAATAACAGGTCAATAAACTATTCTTTTTAGGGGGAAGGGATGGGCTGGTACTGGTTGTGTGTACATGATTTTTATTTATTATTTTTTTTGCAAAGGGGCACGATGTGCCTGTTATAGAAATTAGTTATTTATTTCTTCTTTTTCCTATAGGGATGGGGAGGGGACCGATGATCCTCCTAAATGTCTTATAGAATGATCAACGTTAGGGATTAGTTCCCTAAAAGACTTGAAAGTTTTTTCTTCCTTGTCCCAAGCACATGCATATATTGCTGTTATTTGCATGGTTATCATTAATATTATATAAAGTGAAATAACATGAACTAATCTTATTTTTTTATAACTCGTATTCAATGAAGGTGGCCAGGATCGACCCACGATAGCAGAATACTACAAATGAGCAGACTCGCGAGGAAGTTCGAGCAGAGAGAGTACAAAGGAATTTTGCTGGGAGACTCCGGATACCCCCTTCTTGAGTGGCTGATGACCCCGGTGTTGAATCCCTCAACCGACCAGGAGAAATCCTACAACAAGTATGTACAGATTAAACCACCCAATCGTTATAATATGAAATCGGCCAAAGATGCATGATGATATACGACACAAGCCCAAATAACATTGCCTTAGGGCCTCCAATAATACACTGCATAAATAAAAACAAAAAAGTGATTCCTTATAAACTGTTGAAAGTGTGTAGGCTTATATATATATATATATTCATCTATGTATAGCTTTTTTGATGAAATACCATGGGTAGAAGCTTGTAGACAACCCTCTTCAATTTTTTTTTAGAGAAAAGGGACCAGTGGTTCATGGAGGTATAGTTATCAAACCTCAAAGAAAATAATAAGAAATGTAATCTATCTATTTCTCTTTTGAAAACTACCTGCCTAATTTTTTTAGAGGGTTATTACTTTGCCTACGATTGGGGTGGGTGTGAAATTGAGGGTTACTTCTTCTTCTTTTAAATTGATGATGAATTAACTTAATTTAACTTCCATTCTTTCAAAATTTAAACAGAAAAAAGTGTCAACACTAAACCGTCTCTCTCTATCCACCCCATCCTCCCAAAACATGCTGATGCTGCACATATTTTACTATTATTTTCTTGTATACAATTGTCATTTCCTGCAGTGCCCATGTGAAGACGAGGGTAAAAATAGAAATGTTGAATGGCCAGCTCAAGAATAAATTCCGGTGTCTCATCGGCCACGGCTTAGCCATGAAGCCAAAGAGAGCATGCGACGTGATCAACGCGTGTTGCATTCTGTTCAACATTTCTAAGAAGCTGCGAGAACCTGATATGGAGGACGACATCCAAGTCATTGATGAGGCTGATGATGCCTTTCACGTTGCAGAATATAACATTGGGGGTCAAGCTGCTCGATCACATATAATAAATAACTTTTTTGTTTAATTAATTTTGACCATTACATATATACTTTTTTCTCACTCACTCTAGATCTCAGATTTTCAGGGTTTCTCTATATATCCGTGCATTTATCTTCATTCTATCTCTCTCGCATCTTTACTTTGTCAGTCCTCTCTCGACTAGCTCAAGTATACAGTTTCTGTTTATTTACACTATTTGCAATACCGTAAATATAGAGGCCATGAGTTTTTCTCTTAAAATAATATGCAGTTTTCAAGATAATTATTTCAATATGCATATGACCACCTCTGTATTTGAAATCTACCAACACCATGCTAATTAATGTGTTAATGGCATCGTAACTGTGCTCCTGACATTGCAAATGATTTGCTTCATTGCTGAAGCATGTTTTATCGAAAAGCATGTTTCATTCAACCTTTGTTGGCTGAATTGTAAATAAATTGTAAATAAAACTGTAATTTATCTCACTTCACGAGTATCTAGCTGTCCTATTTTCAATATCCACTTGTCTTAAAGCTAGTAGTCTTCATTTACACACCCTTATCGATTTCAATAAAATTCCATGGGTAAGAAGCAACAAATTTCCTTAGACGATGCTATACATTTCTTCAAGAAACTTTAATAAGTTATGCTGATAAATTAGATAAATAGTCATCAATAATTTTGAATAATTTACACTTATATGTACAAAACTAAAAAAAATGAAACAATCCTATCAGATATAATACAATGTAGGAATGTGGTGAAATCTTGTTTCCAAACAAGCTACAATATAAAGCTATTTACAGTTTTTTATAATATTAAATCCAATCCAATTAAAAAAGTTCATTAGATATACTATCTTTTTTCAATATGAATCAATGAAATAATTTAAACCTTATAATGTTATGCTCTGAACGTCTATATTATTGATATATTAAAATCTATGAGGTTTCCTAACCCATCTTGCACATTTCAGAGCAAATAATTGAAAGAGTTTATAATACATTCAGTCCTTTCAAAACGTATAGGGGAAGAAAAAAAACTTGTCACTGTTCCAATGACACTTTCTATCATACTAATTCCAGATGGCACAGTCACCTACTAATAATGTAAAAATGAGAACATATCATTTCCTTTCGGTGGTGAGGTGGAGGAACGGAAGCAGAAGGCATGAGAGGAGTGCGAGGCCTTGCTGAGAGCTGCTGGTGGATGCCAGCGCGAGTGGAAAGATGTACAGAAGAAATGGCAGGAGTCGAAGACCAAGGAACTTGCATGCATGTCCAAGTAAAAAAATGACAGATAAAACTTTAAATACACCAAAGATGTATTTAGAGGGAATTGAATAATCTAAGATGAGGCCGGTCTTGAACAACGATGACATTGAAACGGTAGTTATATTTTTATGATTCCCTAATAAAGCCTGGTTAGCACTTTTGCACCATCATAATTATATAATAATTTAACAAAAAATAAAAGGATACAAAAGGTTAACCAGGTCTTTAGAAGAACAAAATGCTGGAGAAAATTTACATTGAAGAAAATTATTTAACTATTCCAAATATTCCAAATATATAGTATTCTCCAAATCTCTTTGTTTAATCAGAGAATGGAATAATTTATGGAAACCCAAAATGCGGATGTTTTTAATTTTTGAAAGCAAGAACAAGTGATTTAATAAAGTAAAAACAAAATAAAAAATGGAAAATAGAAAATAATTACTCTTCCTTTTTTTTTAGGAGAGAAATAATGATTTCTAATTGGCTTGAAATTGTCTCCAGCATTTTGTTCTGGTGGGACTGGCAGGGCAAGCACCCAGGATGCTGATGAGGTTCCTGTGGTTCCTGTGGTAGAGTGATTGATGGTAGAGGGGTTGATGGAGGAATAAAAACACTTGGTCCAGCCCTCATCACTCTATCACTGGAACCTGCCTCATCATCAGCATCCTGGATGGCTCCTGCCAGGAGATCTATGTCTATTTCGGGGTCAATTTCTGGAAATTCCTGGCTGTCCTGTAAAGAAAACCAAAAGAAAACAAATGATTACTTGCAAGAATTGTTTATATTGTGGTATCAATAGATTCATCATTTTGTTTTTAAAATATTACCTAAAGTACAAGGCCACTCCACTGAAATGTTGAGCTGATTATATACCGGTAGACAAAACCTAAAAAGCCCAAATCTAACTTGGTTTTGGAAAATGGTGCTCAAACTTATTTTAATAATTTTTTTAATGAGCAAAAAACAAGTTAATGATCGAGCCGGTTCTCCCCCACAATGAATTGCGCAACATTTTTTTGTGATGTAGGGTCCTCACAACAGAGACACAAAAACATTATCAATGATTATGGAATTCATACTGTTTGACCACACAAAGTTAACACCCTAATTATATCACGATATGTAGTGTAATACTCACATCTACGCCGGCCTCATCCTCGGACCCACAGATCCCATCTTTGCACTGGGGGGCCAGCACCTCCAACACCCTTTCAAAAACGACCGTCATATGAGGTGCTGGTCCTCCTCCTGAAAGATATAAGCAACAGTTGTTTTTTTTAAATCAAAACAGTATGACATGTTGTATAGGGTACCTATTTATTTTCCTATAACGTACATTATCCATATCATACCCAAGTAAATGGGAACGTGAGCAGTTCTTAAAAAGTAATTGTCAAGCCTTGACCAAATGACTTCAAAATTTAATCCGTAATCCTTGTTGGTTATTCATATAATATCAAATTTGATAAGGAAAGCTGAAACCGGCATTCTCCGATTGTCAGCATGTATTAATCTCCACGAGTTTGAATTATCATGAAATATTACTTGAGAATTAAACTCAGTACAAATAGGGCTCTGAATTGTTTATTTGGTAAAAGATAAATGTTATGTTAGGTTAATAGTCCTTTAAAAAAAAATGACTTAATCTCATTTAGTGCCCACACATCCAATCCAATCCAGGAATTTATAAAGCGCCAATATCTAGTTGCCTAATCAAAGGCGCTGATGAGACTGAAAACTGTCTATTGATGATTCTAAATGGGAAAGACAAAAAAAGCAGTGACTAATTGTAAGCAATCTGAATGTCTTTAGTTGAGTCCTGACAGTGGAAAGCTTGTGAAAAGGGCACAGAATTTGGGGAAGACCATTCCACAATCTTGATGCACAGGCAGTAAATGATCGCAAATTAAAATAATACCTGTCATTTTGGACTTCGACCTGCATGCCAGGGCCCTGGTCTTCAGCTCCTGCCATTTTTTACGGACGTCCTTCCATTCACGCTGGCATCCACCAGCGGCTCTCAACAAGGCCTCGCACTGCTCCCATGCCTTCTGCTTCCGTTCCTCCACCTGGACGGTTCAAAATAGATTAATGGACAAAATAATGATATAATTAACCTATAAAAGAATGACATGTTCTCTATGTACTTAATGCATATGATTTAATCATACACATATATTTTGCATTTAAATGAGAATAATAGAAGTGACATATCAATGGGTTCCATGAATGAGCCTCAAGTACCAATTTTATTTAAAATGGTCCATTTTTACAAATTAACAACAAATCATTAAATACAACTATTAGTTTCCTATAAAGAAATGTATGGAATTTTAAAATTAAGTTTAGAAAAACGCTGATAAAATCCCCAAAGCACCTAAGAGTATTTCATTTGTGTTGATATCTTTAATATGGAATCATCACGGAGTGCCAATTCATATTACATATATTCCTATAAATAGTAAGATAAACAAAATTGTTTTAATTACTCGAACTATACACTGCCTTTTAAGTTAACAAATACTAACCCGTTTCCCACAAAATCCTGCCTTTCCGAACAGGGCCTGTGTATTTTGGCTGACGAATGTCACCATCGCATACTGTTCTTCTGTAGAAAAGTTGGCTTTCCTTTCTCTTTTCTGTAAAGAATAAAAATATCACTTATTAGAAGGCAGATTACATTAAATCATAATTCAGTTGATTTATTAGATTAAATAAAATAATCTAATTTCTTCATCAAATTCATCATTATCCTTATCGTCATCTCTATGGAAGTGTAGGTTGTCGTGTCGGTCTCCTGGTCGAGATCTAGCAGTAGATTGTTGCAGCTAATTCCAGTCTGTACCATGTATGAACAAACAATTTTGAAGGAAAAAAAAATCTTTCCTCCCGCTGTAATGTACGTTGAGAAATAAACTATGCCAATCATCGAAAAAAATATGATGTGGAAATAATCGTAGTAGTGTGTGACTCTTTGAAGCTCGTTAAATTACCAGAGTTCTTACATTGTACTGATCTTTTATAAAACAAGAAGCTCACCTCTCAACAGTAAAAGTCATTTACTATTCAGTTCAGAAAATAATCAACTGCGAAAGTATTGAACAGGTTGAAAAACTTTAAATCAATTTCAATTAAGACAATTAACCCCCTATTCACCATGAAACAACAAAGGAAACCACTGGAATTGAAAGCTCTGTACTGCAGTGTGAACCTTTATACTTATGTTCAATATAAAGCTCTGTCATTCTTTCCAGTAGCCATCCAACTACATGCATCACAAACTTATTTAGGATTGAACTATTATATTTACTGTACATCAGTACGAGAATACACCCGACGGTGGCCTGTACTTAGACTATAGCGAAGAAGAAAAGCTTGAAATTGAGCTTCAGTCGACAGCACTCGACAAACACAAGTACGATAATACGCCAACAGCGGTCTGTACTTAATCGGAAGAAGAAGAAGAAGATATAATAACACAAATTCTGGCAAATGATTGAAAACTTAAATTTAATATAATTCATTGTAATTGAACAGATCTAGGATCTTCATCTTAATTTACCTTCGGAATAGGAGAAGCCATGTTCCTGTGCTAGCTATCCCTGCTCTCTTCAAGTCTGAAAAAAGAAAAGGAAAGTAGATTTAGATATAGTCTAATACTATTATTGTTTATATATCCTATTATAAAGTCATACTCAGTCATAGTTCATACCCATTATTTTTTCTTCAATTTCGTGGGAGAAGGGGGGGGGTGCAAAAGATTCTTAGTACTCTTTCTTAGTCTTAATTACTCTTACAAGTTTTATCGTTAATTATTGTAATGTTATGTAGCCTAGACCTACAAATATTAAATAATAAATAAACATCTACATCTAGATCTACATCTAGACTACAGGATCCATGGATCTAGTTATCTACATGAATGTAATAATATTCCCCACGGAGTAGCAAACGCAGACGAGCTCACCATCATACTCATACTTATACTCAGTCACAGTCATAGTCTACTAGTACTACATTAGACAACAGACAGGAAACAGAAAAATATCTAGTAAATAAGTAACTAAGAAAGACATGCGAACATTCATCTAGACAAGTATTATTACCTTTTACTGACTAAGGTCAGGCAGTAATGGTAGTCGTAGTTCGTTTTAATAATATAATCTAAATCATCGTCTCATGTCTGCAACTGCAAGTAATCTAGTGAAACGTATCACGAATTCACATCACGACGATTCACGAATCGAGATACACCCACAGATATTCACACGCGGGACCGGGTGCAAAGCTGGGTGATTACGTACCGTTCTTTGACTGCAATATCCTTCGAGATTTCTATGCTATAATTTAACCTAATAGAAAACTTATACTCTGGCTCGAATGGCCTTACATCATGAATTCAAAAACATAACAGATGAAAAGTGATAAGACAGAACTACTAGAGAAAAATATAAATTACTAGCGATAACTTACCCAAAACAGACGACAAGATTTAGAGAGATGAGCGCGGTAACTCTCGGCAGACACTTTTTTTTCTGTTTTCATGAATATGCATGAGTATGCAAATGATTCAGGCTCGTCCGTTTAATATTGAAGCAATATGAGTCGCACTTAGCCTAAGTACGACTTAGTGAAACAGACTTTGCTTCTCCGTGAGAGTCACACTTAGGGTAAGTCACACTTAGTGAGATTAACGCTAAGTGCGACTTACTAAGTGCGACTCTTTGTGAAACACCCCCCAGCCCACCTATACTTGTTCCAAACAAGTATTATATGTCTAGTTTATTTATTATTATCAGGTGGGCTGTATCTAATACAGACCACCTTATAATTTTGTTAAAATTGCCTTTATTTATTTCTTTATTTCTTTCTTTCTTTATTTTTCTTATTTCCACCCACTTTTTTGTTAGCAAGATAACTTTAAAATGGTTCAAGCAAATGCTTTGATATTTGGCACACATATGTATAGGCATATGGACAAGGCACGGTAAGTTTTTTCAATCTTGACCTTGACTGATGACGTCATCTAGGCGCCATTTTGTGAAAATTGACTCATGATCATATCTTCATAACCAAAACTCAGTTCTCATTCATATTTATCATGATCAAGGTCAATATCCATCCAATCATTTTCGGGTCAAAAAATGCGCGTGTGCGCGTACGTCCGCGCGTCAGTGCGCGCGTAAAATTTTAAAATGCTCAAAATAGTCTCAAAATCATTTTGCATACGTTTCTGGCCATTTTAAGCATTTTATAAAAAATCGCGCACACGCGCATGCGCGCGCGTTTTTGCGCGGAACACCATTACACAACATAGAATCGCCATTTTTTTTCTATCATGATATTTCTCATATTTTTTCGAAGAATTTGAAACCATGTTTTTCTCTTTATGACCATTAATAACAAGATGAGCGTCCATTCAAGATAAATGTCTGTGCGCGCGAGCTCTTGTAATACATAACATACATGGGCAAAAACATGCCTATACAAAATCCATTATAGCTCTTTGGGATGCACCTGGACCCCAATTTTGTTTTCATATTTAAAAAGAGTATGAGTCGGAAATATGATTACATGTCTCGTTTGGCCATTAAGTGTATGATCATCTTAATGGCCTTGGAATTCAAAATACGAATTTGCATATTATGGCGTCAGCATATTTATGGAAAATTGATTGTATCTCTGTAAATATTGATCGATTTTCTTCCAAATTTCGATATGTTGTAGCTAAGACATTTTTATACAATCTCAGTTTTCACTATTTTTCATTTTGATGACGTCATCATAGTAAAAATTTCGATTGAAGGCCTCATGTCAGAAATTTCATAATATGCGTGTTATGCCCATAGAAGGTGAATTTCGTTCACGTCATGAATCTACATGATATTGTTTTATAAGAATTTTAAAGCAGTATCTCGCTTATTTTTTCTCTGTTTTGTCTCAAATTTTAGTTGACCAGCCCACCTATACTTGTTCCAAACAAGTATTACATGTCTAGTTATTAAATATTTTTCTTATTTCTAACCACTTTTTTGTTAGCAAGATAACTTGAAAATGGCTCAATCAAATGCCTTGAAATTTGGCACGCATATGTAAAGGCATATGTACAAAGCACAATAACGTTTTCAACATTGTCCTTCACTGATGACGTCATCTAGGCGCCATTTTGTAAAATTTTACGAAAATCAACTCATGATCATATCTTCATAACCAAAAGGTATTTCTCATTCATATTTATAATGATCGAGGTCAATATCCGTCCGGTCAATTTCAGGTCAAATAACGCGCGCGTGCGCGTACGTCCGCGCGTCAATGCGCGCGCAAAATTTTAAAATGCTCAAAATCGTCTCAAATTAATTTTGCATACGTTTCAGGCCATTATAAGCATTTTCAAAAATTGCGCGAGAGCACTTATGCGCGCGCGTTTTCGCGCGTACTGGTATTTTCCAACATAGAATCGCCAAACTTTCTCTGTCATCATATTTGGCACATTATTTCAAGCATTTTGATACCTTGTTCATCTTTTTCTGACCGTTAATAACGGATTGAGCGTCCGTTTAAGATAATTTCCGTGCGTGCGAGCTCTTGTAATACATAGCATACATGGGCAAAAACATGCCTTTACAAAATCCATTGTCGCGCTTTAGGATGGAAGGTGACCCCAATTTTTTTTCATATTTTAATAGAGTATGATTCGGAGATATTGTTTCATGTCTCATTTGACCCTCAATTAACTCATGACGTCATCATAATGGCCTCCGAACTCAAAATACGAATTTGCATATTAAGACGTCATCATATTTATGAAATCATAATGGTCTTTAGATCGAACTCAAAATACGAATGAGCATTTATGCAGTCAGCATATTTATGAAAAAAGGATTGTATCTCTGTAAATATTCATTACGAAAAGCTCTCGTTAAAACTATACCCTATCACTATAACACAAAAATCAATGTAATCTGGTGGGGTACGAACCACAACCCCAATTTCGTTTCTCTCGAACTTTGAGAGAGCTACTAATATAGTACAGGCACCTATGTATCTCTGATGGGAGTTTCACCATGTATCACTACCCCAATTTCGTTTCTCTCGTTAAAAACTTAGACAGTGCCTTGAGGCTCTGCGTGAGAGATTTTGATATTGGATTGCAGCTGGACCCTTCATCATTTTACGTAATACTAGTGTAAACAAACTCTTACTGGGGCTCTGCCTAAAAGGAAATGAGAAGTAGGAAATATATACTTTATTTGTTTTAAGATATTTTCGTGTCCAAAAGTCACTTATAATTTAGATGAAGACCATAATGAATCGTACAGACCACCTTATAATTTCGTTAGAATTGCCTTTATCAGGTGGGCTGTATATCGTACAGACCACCTTATAATTTCGTTAGAATTGCCTTTATTTATTATTATCAGGTGGGCTGTATATCGTACAGACCACCTTATAATTTCGTTAGAATTGCCTTTATCAGGTGGGCTGTATCTAATACAGACCACCTTATATTTTTGTTAAAATCGCCTTTATTATTAGGTGGTCTGTTATCAACAGACCACCTATTGTTTTCGTCAGAATTTTCTTTCTTTATTATTATTATTTATTATTCTTTATTTTTATTTATTGTTCCCACTTTTTTGTGAACAGGATAACTCAAGATCGGTTTAATCAATTTCGTTCAATTTTGGCACAGTCATAGGTCATTGTCATGAGACGTCAGTGTAACATTTTCAAGGTCATCAAGTCTTCATGACGTCATCCAGGCGCCATTTTGTGTTTTTCTTGGTACTTTTTACTCATGATCATATCTTCATAACGGAAAGGCATTTCTCTTTCATATTTATCATGATTAAGGTCAATATCCGTCCGATCAATTTCAAGTCAGAAAACGCGCGCGCATGCGTACGTCCGCGCGTCAGCGCGCGCGCAAAAAATAAAAATGCTCAAAATCGTCCCAAATTCATTTTGCATACGTTTCAGGCCATTTAAAGCATTTTGCAAAAAAACGCGCGCACGCAAATGCGCGCGCGTTTTCGCGCGTACTGGTATTTTTCAACATAGAATCGCCAAATTTTCTCTGTCATCATATTTGGCACATTTTCCCAAGCATTTTGATACCTTGTTCACCTTTTTCTGCCCATTAATAACGGAATGAGCGTCCGTTTAAGATAATTTCCGTGCGTGCGAGCTCTTGTAATACATAGCATACATGGGCAAAAACATGCCTATACAAAATCCATTGTAGCGCTTAAGGATGCAAAGTGATCCCAATTTTGTTTTCATATTTTGATAGAGTATGAATTGGAGATATGATTTCATGTCTCATTTGACCCTCAATTAACTCATGACGTCATCACAATGGCCTCCAAACTCAAAATTTCAATTTGCATATTATGACGTCAGCATATTTCTGGAAAATTGACTGTATCTCTGTAAATATTGATCGATTTTCTTCCAAATTTTGATATGATCTACCTGAGACAATTTTCTACAAAGGCAGTCACCACAATATTTTATTTTGACAAAGGTATCATGGCGTATTTTTGCGATTAAAGGTGGCATGTCAATTTTTCACATTCTGCGTGTATTCTCTATGGGACATGACTTTTTCTCAAAACTGGATTCTACATCCTGTCTTTTGCGAGCAATATCTCCGTCGTTTTAGCTGTGTTTTCGCTGAGCTTTGAGTATGATGTAGCTGAGAGAATAAGCTATCACAAGTGT